CGAGCAATCGCAGCTGACAACGGGTCGCCAAGTAATCCAAGTAAGTAACTAACAAAACAGCGAGTATCTTACTCTCTTACTCTTGCTTGTGACCCTTCCCCCCTCTCCCCCCTCCCCCTCCCCTCCTTCTCCAGAACATAATTTTCCTGTTCTCATAGCGACTTTTCTGTAAGGGATTGAGAGCGTGATCGTATTTGTCGAGGAACCTTTTTTTAACTAGAGAAAATGAATGCTTGCTTGCCTCCACTCAAGCGAGTTAGCGACTTGCTACATTTTTGGCCGTACACTGTCGGTTGGGATCGGAAATGAAGCGACATTTCTGTTTACAGTAAAGGATGGGAATTTAGTTAAGCCACTATGGACGATCCTGGGAGGATGTGTTGACCGATTATTCTCGTCACCGTTTCATTTCCGATGTTAACCCCTATGTTTGATTTGCTTGCGGCGTTTCCAGAACGTAGACACTTTTGTCCTAATGGTGTTCTTGAAGAAGATTGGCTCATTTGTCTGATGACAACCACTCCTCCCATCGGTTGTGGTATCTGCTGAGCAAATGATATCGCTTACGGGGTTGCAGTTGGTTCTCAGATTTCCTCCGCTCCTCCTATGGTCACGTAGTGGGGAAATACGATGAATTTGGCAAGCCATCATGAGGCTGGCAAGCTTTCAGACAAATATATGAGAACTCATGGAGGTACTGTGAGTCATTATCCTTAGTGTACCGTTAATGTATTAGTACTGTCTACAGAGCAAAGTGCAGTGCTAAACAATTGTACTAGACTTGCCAGTAAGTATGGATAAAAGCGCATCGTCTACCTTCGACTAAGCCCTTTTGAGGACGGATGTACTCCAGAAACATTTCATCATAAATCTACTTTCATTCCTTCGATGGTATTTAATCAATTTTGATTTCTTTTAAAAAATTCGTTCCACGTCATCGTCGACAAGTCCAGCGATCATGTCTTCTTCGATTGTGCACTCGTTGACTCCTCGAATTATGCGGAAAAAACCTGTAAAGGGTGATTTACGATGAAACTAGCTTAAGAGCGTGTGTTTTTCCGATATAGTTCTGGAAATGTGTTCCTCTTAAATATCTCGCTAATCACTAACTTCATCAAACTCTGGAACTCTTACCTTGTTCTCCCCAGTCGTCGTTCCACGAGTTAGCAATAATCCAGAAGTCTGTATTATTTTCGCTTCCCCATCCAACGACCTTCACTGCGTGCCACCCGGTTGATTCACCGGCGGTATGCTGTAGAAAAATAGTGTATACTATGTCTCCCTTACCAAAAAAATTACATTGGTGTGGTTAAATGATGTGACTATTGAGAGGTTCAAGATGAGAAGTAGATCTGGTCTCAGCAATATTACAAATGAAGTCCAAGTGTTTGTAAGGTTACTACTTTATAGATTCCTGAATTGTAGAGATTGAAATCTTCAAAGACTTCAAACAATGCAACAACTGGTCCATTCTTCATGATGTCTCTTTGGATGTCCTCCACCCCGTTCAGCAGGTAAACGCTTTTGCCTGAAAACCGAATCTACATATAATAGTATGAATATCTTGGAAATCGTCAAATTGTATTCATAAACAAGCAGAGGACTGAACTCATATGAGAAGTTGTATTATGTATAGTAGTGGGCTGACAATAAATGATTCTGTAGAAACCAATCACTACTCTATATAAGCTTAGCTCGAGTGAGATTTTGACCCTTTACGTAGTTCAGTTTACGTAGTGACTTTTATAAAGCCGTTGTTTATACCTGGGTGAAAGATCGAAACTTCTGACAATCAGGATGAGATGAGGGATCAGTTACAGCTTCTCGAGTTTTTCCAGGTTATAAGTAAAGAACAAAGAAACCAAAGCGAATTGGTTTAGATGCTACTGGGCTAAATAAAAGACGGAAGAGGTCATACGATCGGGATTGCAAGAGCTTTAACATCCAACGTGATGGCTGCTGATAGCATTTGTGTCAAAAGCTTCGTCTTCTATGCCAAAGCGGAGATTTCATTCTCTAAGTGGCACTCAAGCTTCGATAGAAGCTCATCTAAGATGCACTACAATTTCCTCAAGCACCGAGAATGAGGATCCTTCGTGAAAGCTGAGTAATATGGCACCAACGACGCCTCCTCTCTAGAAACTTATCAAACACATTTTCGATCTAAAGTTCGAGTTCAGCACCAAACGTCATTTCCTGAGGATTGAGATGAGTGACGACGAGGATTTTTTGAATTCACAGTCAATGATGTGAGAAGGCAAAACATCAAGACGTAGAGTCAGTAGAGCTGGGTGGTATAGAGTGCTTGTGCTGGATATTTGGGCTGTAATCACAGATAGACGCAGAAATTCTATAGTGACTCGTTGCAGTGGCAGAAAGCACAGAGAAGTTCGGACAACTTATTGAAGTGATTAGTACCGGGAGTGCGCGAACTTATCGAGAATTATGGTGCTAAAGTCGGAAATGTAAAGGCTTGTTGAAAACTCTATGAAAGAGGGTCAGAAAGTGTCCATGTCCATCGAGTGTCGGCATTGCGAAGGGAATCACTATGCATGAAAGTGTGAGAAGAAGCCGTGGTTGTGCAAAAAATGCAAGGCAGGTGACCATCGAGAAAAAGCTTATGATGTTGCGAATCAGAAGATGAGCGTACCAAGATTCCGCGAAAAAGCCTTTACCGGAGCGGCATAAAGAAGCATGCCAAGATCGACTTTAAGAGGTACGCTTAATTGACAGATTTTTCACTTCTGCTCACAATAGCCCACACGGATGTACATTGAGGCTGGTTTGAAGGACCAATCTGTTGAGCTCCTATTTGATACGGGATAAGGAATAAAATTGCTGAATGAAGACATCTGGAAGAAGGCAAGATCTTTGAGATTGGGAAAGGTCAACGATACGGTGGAAAATGAATGAGGGAAAAAATAGTGGTGGTTCCATTAAGACTCGAGGAAAGCTGAAATGTTCAACTAAACGAAAGCAGCAAAAGTGTAGGTTGCGCGTATGTGGCTTCGTATGACTCAATAATGGGATTTGAGTTGGTACAAACAGAGGAGAAGATTTTGCATCATTAGTGGATGATGGTGCGAAGATCACACGGAGCGCAAAAAGCTATTTGAAGCAGAGTCAAAAAAATTATACCCTGTGGTGTTTAGTGGAGGCCACAAATGCTCTACGGAAGAAAACGCCGTCTTGTTCTTCCACACAATACCCATCCGTTGCTGTCGTCCCGTTGCAAACGCTACCTTAGCAGTTTAACAAACTCCGAGAAATGTGGAATATCACTCCAGTAAGCCTAGCGAATGGCTGCTCCAATCCTAAGTGTCGAGGAACTAGGTGGAAATTTCAAGCTATAAGTTGCTTTTTCTACGGCACTCAACGAAGCTCTAGAGCCTTTCAACTATACCCTACTTAACCCAGATCCTTTCATGAAGGAATCGTATTTTTCCAAATAGACCTCTTCGATGTCTATCTTCAAATGGAACTGAATGATGAGTCAAAGAAGAAGGCTAAAGTAAACGCACACGCAAAGGATAGCTCTAATATAATGGCCCGCTAGTTGGAATCGAGCAGCGCTTGGAATTTCCTAGGAAATCGTGAACAAGATGGTCGTAAGGCTGAATGATGATACTGCATATTTATGCGGCACTCTTATGCGGAACACTGAACAAAACCGCAATGGGTGTTCTGTTATTGTTCGGAAGAATCACTGAATATTGTTTCCATTAATGCCTGGAAAATGTTTATTTGCAAAATCGGAAATTTGCTCTTCTGGATGTGTCCTCGACAAAGACGGTAGAGGACCGAATCATCAGAAAATGGAAGCCTCTCAAAAAGATGGCTGAGCCATCATACGGCTACCCGCATTCATGGGAATGGTGGCATTGTATTCAAACTTCACGCCGTCTTAGAAACGTCATGGGCCCTAGATGCACTTTCGAAGGAAGACGTACAATGGAGATGGACATCGGTGCAGCAAGAAGCATTTAGGATACTGAAATCAGAGTTGTCCATTTATCTTGTTCTAGTACAATCCAGGAATGTTGTAACCGCAGGTTGTGCCAACACGGATTTGGGTGTGTTATCTTCCACAAGTATGGCGATGGTTCTGAAACCCCTTAGCACATGGTTCTCATTTGCTCTCTTATGCGTGAAGGAACTACTCACAGAATGAGAGGAAGGACTTTAATATATTTTTTGGGATAGGTTCATAATGCCAACAGACCGAAGTCATATTCGGTAACAAGAACAGAGTACTCCGTAAGCCGTCTTAAAAGGTGGGCGTTTATCCTGCTTTTCGACATTGAGCATATTAATGAAACAAAATTGGTCAAATCGACGGACTGTAAAAGCTGATGCACAAATACCAAAGCAAGATGACTTGACAGTGGCAGTAGAAAATGATCTATCAGATTAGCTGAGAAGCTATCATGAAAATAGTCACTGACGTGTTAAGTCGTCTATATCACAGTTAAAGACACAGTTCACGATAAAAATGGTTTCTGAGATTTTCCCATAGGATGAATTCGAGGTTCCCCCGTATACAATATCTGGCACTATTAGGGCGGAAGGCGGAAGGCGATAAGGAGCTATGAAGGCTCAAAGATTGGCCAGTGTGTATGCGTAGACGAGTTACATCGGCATTGTAGAGGCTGCACCGATCACAAGAGAACCAATGTAGGAAGTTTAAACAACTTGTCATAATCTAAGGCGACTGTGAAAGGCAGTTCTGTACAGTTCTTGCTTGGTGTAGTCAGCTCTCTGTGCAACTGCAACAACTGAAATCTCGTCCGATTACCCCTTCCATGTTATTTTCGTCATGGTAATCTCGTCCAACCTTTATTTTCTCTACTTTTGAGGAGGTTTACTTTCCTCGAAATTGCCGGATTTTCTCGCTTCCTCCACTACCAATGACCTTTCCCCAACCTATACTTCCGCATCTTGACTAAAAAGGGTACTTTAAAATTATCGTGAACTGTGCCTTTTAAGAATCAAGTTGTGATCAAAATTTTGACTTCTCCTTGCTGTAAAAGAAGAAACATATGAAGCGATTATAAGAACAGAAGCTGAATAGGAAGTTCAGTTTCTGCTCTGCTCCTGTTATTGAGGAACCTGTTATTCATTGTGTACTACACAAGGGATACGGATGTGTACATAGATGTAGCTGCAAAATTTTGCATTTGATCCTTTTCCCGTCTGAAATATTATAATTTATTTTTTTTATTTTTTTTATCCTCTGGATCAATACATTTAGAGGATTGATCAGGGTTCTATTGACTTGCAAACTTGTTTTAAATATTGAATCCTATTAATTTCAAATGTTGCTGCATTTTTTGCACCTATTCAATGTGAGGCTAGAACACATTCATATGACCAATAGTTGCCTTTGTTATTGTCTTCATGCATACCGTAGAATTTGTTCATTCTGTACTGTTTCCTGAAACCGGGTTGGCATCTTCTATGGCATTCTGGTGTGTTCGCACCAAAGAGGCACTCTCCATAGTCAATCCCGTGATGTTCTCCACATGGATGGACTGGGTAGGGACGGCAGCAACCCTATTGACGAGCCTGATATAGAATCTTTATGAAACATAGGGGCATTCAATGGTGACTCTACCTTCGATAGGTAATTTCCTCCGCTAACGACGCCGTCCTCCTTGAAAAATTCCCATGCTTTAGTCGCATAGCCGCCTTCACATCTGAATTGGCCACGGCTGTTTATATATAATAGAATATATCTCTCATTCAATCTCATTTGTCGATCAATGGTAATAATTTTGGTATCTATCTCCTCCAGTAAGAACTGTGGGAGTCACGGGAAAGGCTTCCCCGTAAAAACTGTGGGAGTCACGGGGAAGCCTTTCCCCGTGACTCCCACAGTTTTTATTGGAACCACCAGAATTACGCTTTGTCAAACTATAATGCACAAAGAGAGCATTATGGGTTACTCTCAAAAAGTTTTATCCATCACCCATCCACATACTAGCAGATTACGATAAAGTTTGTATTTATATTTTTTGTATTTTACTGTATTTTTTCTAATTTTCATTCCTATTGAACTTCTTTATAAAACATACCCATCACCGCATACATCGCCGCAACAAGACAAAATATCGGTGGCTGAAAGGATCACCTGAAAATTTTCCCTTATTTTAAGCGAAATTGAATCACGGTGTGCAAGAGAATACCTTTTTGGCTCCCTTAGTTGCAATGCAAATTCTGTCTGACATTGCACCTGCCGATGAAACTGCCCAGCATGAACCTATGATATCTTTCATTGTACAGATGGATCGTAGGCGTCCTCTTTAATCTCAATTTAAGAATCGCCCACCGCAGTTTGCTTGATCACGAACATATTTGAGCGAAGGGCAGTCGGGCCAGTGTTCGCGACTATCGAAACTGTAAATCAATGTTTTAAACAAATTCTGTGCAGCAAACGTAAAAAGTTTTGCAAAAGTCTCTTATTGCTTCTATCACCCCAAATCTCCTTCCTTGAGAAACTTATGATAACTTTAATAAATAAATAAGTTAAGAAGTGTTGTATAGATATATACAGTAGCGCTCAAAAGTCTTCGGTGAAAAGCTTCGACGCTTTTTCGTTTATAGCTTTCTTCTTAATAGACCGATTCGCGCAAAATTTGGATATGTTTAACTAGAGCATATTCCACCCTACCCAACACAATTTAACTGCAAAGCTGTAATATCCACAGTTAGAGCAAGGTGACTGTTGCGGTAGCAGATTTTGCTAAAAGAAAAGTTGTTGACGTCTGCACTTATTCGCAGCTTATGTGCGTTTTTCTCATCTATTGTGTTCGCCAATACTGCTCGTACACTTTAGACTTGACAAAAAGGAAAGAGGTTCTAGAAGGACCATCATCCGTATTTCCAGTTGATTTTTTGTTCGAGCCCTTTGGGATATCTGGAACATGATCAGACTGCAGGTTAGTAGTGATAAATATTCACAATACACCCATGCTACACATATCCGAATTTCGCGGGTTTAGATCCAGTAGGAAAAGAGTTACGACTAAAAAGTCTGACTGAAGAAGCATTTCACCGAAGACTTTTGAGCGCTACTGTAAATGCACAGTAGAATACTGGCAATGGCAGTGGCAATACCCAATTATTAGACGTTACAAGGAAAGAAAAAGACAAGTAGGCTATGAAAGGTAATATGGTTACGAAAATTAGGAAGGAGACTTGGGAAGGGACTAAGGTAGTAAGAGTAGTAAGGTGATGTTAATTGAGTAATGAAGTTATATGACAGTTTACTGGGGAAGAGCGGCTCCGCAATACAAATTCTTCCTAGCAGATGAAACCATGGATCTCCATAAGAAAATGAGGATGAGAACGGAACGTAGAATTTGGTGGTGTACTCCGCGCTGAGCGGGGAAAATTTTCCAAATGAATAGTACCGAATAGGGACTCTTACGGTGTGCAATGGGAATGCTCTGGAAGACTGTGCATTCAGAAGGTGTAACGCAGCTTTTTTCTGGAACGACGAAGAGTTCGAAAGAAGGTTCAAGGAACTATGAAGCTGAAGAAGAGGGGCAGAAGCGCTTGCAAGAATTCGAGCTTCGTGAGATTTAGATCTACAGCGATTGCTAGAGGATCACAAGGCAGCCATAGCCTAAGCAAAGAGTGCATAACTGGATGCTTTGTATAAGAAACTCGATGCTTGAGAAGAAGAAGGTTTCTTCTCCCTGCTAACCGAAGCTATCGAGATATCGGAGTAGTGAGGGCAAAAAAAACAGCGAGATATCATTTTGAGAAACCCTTCAGGTCAAGTGATAGCGGAAGAAAACTTCGAATGGCTCCCAAACGAAGAATTCCTTTGGAACAGCTCTTGATTTAAGCTCTCGAATATATACAACAACTAGTCTCACCTTTCTCTGGACAGAGCATGAGGGAAGGGAGCAAGGGAAGATGTAGGTCGGAAAACCAACTGATTCGTTTAGGGTGCCTTTCGAGGCATGGAGAGTGCTCAAAAACCGCTGAAGTTTGTGATTCTGAATGTTACTGAAGGAGGATTCCAGGTGTGTGGAAAAGAATCAGTGCCATCGTTTCGATCTCCAGACAAAATAGTACGCCATGGAATGTTTACTTGAGAAATCAGGTCAAATGAACATGCCGTGAAATTGAAATTATGGGCATGCTAGTCGATTCATATATATTTGAAAGAATGTGTCCCAATTTCACAAGAGCAGTTTGACTTGAAGCCAAATGCCAAAACCCGCAATGGTGCCATCTTCAAGACTGGGAGATTAATTAAGAAGCGTAGAAAGAAGCGGAAACCGTAGCATCTAGTCTTTATCGAACATCTCAAGAGTTTCAAATGCTTTTTACGACCAGAACTCTGGAAGGACCTGCGAGAGCGAAGCGCTTATGAACATCGACCTTTCTGGTAGCCGGCATGTTCGATAAGCCTGAGACTGTTGCACGCACCCTTCAGGGCTATACAAAAACAGTAGGCATTGCGGTTGGAGTACAACAAGCATCAACTCCAAACCCGTTCCTTTTTTTAGTGACTCGAGAGTGCTCGTGGAGCAGCCACCAAAACGCATCCTCTACGCTCAAGACTTTGCTACGCTTCAGAGGGACATGAGAAGAAAATCCAGAACAAGCTACAGTCACGACAGAAAGAGTTTGAGGTTGACAGCCTTTACAGAAGAAACTTGAAAAAGACCAAGTTTCTCAACGAAAAGAAAGGGGCAAAGTCATTTGTAGACTGCCTAGGGGAACCCATCGGAATAGCACAGGAGTTCTGTTATTCGGTAAGTGACCTAACCATTGATGGTATCAAGAGTGCCTGAATAAATGCAGAAAGATGGAATGAAGGCAGTCCTAGCGGTATACTCTGCGGTCAACGGTGCTATAGAAGCTTAAGAGAAAGGTGTACAGGGCACTGATGAGGCCCACAATGTTTTATGACAATGAGTGCCGGCTCGAAGGTTAGAATAATGAAGGACAGTTTACTCCGCAGAAAGGATGATTAGCGATAAATCTGCAAGTGAGTGAATGACGATGAACCGGGTGCAAAACAGTTCTAAACAGTCATAATGGCTGATGACGAGAGAGCAGCGCCTGTGGCGGGCATGTCCTGCAAAGGGCATTAGGTCACTTGATCAGGGAAGCAAATGGGGTTCAGACCCAAGCGCAGCGATCAGAAAGGGCTTCAAGATGGGATCGCGGTATGTGATCAAGGTGGACCGCCAAAGCTTATGTGATGGCAGAAGATGCTGAAGATAGAAGGAAATGGTGACTAGCAGAATCAGCGAACGAAGCGACATCGCGTGATACACGCCACAATAAAAAGCTTCACCAGATCAGATTGCATTTTGCCTATACGGAAAGATAATGTGGTCGCTTGAATGCGAACAACCGCCCGTTAATTTTAAGGCACAGTTCACGATAATTTTGGGTAATCCAGATTAAGATGAAAAATGGAAGGCAAGATCGAAACTAGTGCGACTGAGGTGAAGAAACTGCGTGCATCGGCGTTTCCAAAGTGAAAAAAGGCTTCGAAAAACCGTTAAAAGGGGGCTGGACGAGAAGAAACCAGAAAAATGAAGAAGAGTGGGCATCCGGACGAGCTAAAGAGTGTGTTTCACTGCGCGCGTGTGGGTCCTGGTGCGAATAACAGGCAATGGTAAGCAAAAATTCATTCACTTTTAAGCATAAATAAACAAAAAAACCCTAGTAACAGCAAAAGCAGCTCACCTTTTTCAGCCTCTAGGAGTAGGAAATTAAATAAGGGACGGCGGCAGCAACAAGAAAAGCAGAGGAAAAAGAATGGGAGAAGAACATCGCCTTATCATTCGGCGAATAGCTGATTGTGCGTGGGTCCTAGAACGAATAATAGCAATCTGTATTGTCTCGAACTCGTCTAACGTGACACCGATCGAGGGGCGGGCACGCGAACTACGGCAACAACGGAGCTTTCACTATGCCTTAAGCGCCGAGTTTGTGAGAGCGAGAGGGTCCCTTCTACCTCACATGGGGGCTGAGCATTCCTATAAGAAGAACTCAGTAACCTTTTTTTTGTGAACCGTGCCTTTAATCCCGCTCACTCGTCGCAGTTATACTTCAAGCTGACATCGTCATGTTTTTTCGGGTGTTTTTAAAGTAAACTTTTTCCTCTGCGATCAGTTTCGCGGAGTAAAATTTTCGTGCAAATGTCTTGGCTGCCAGAGGAGGTTGATAGTACTGTTTGAAATTTCCTTTTGCAAAATTCATCGTGAACCATTCAATTTATCGTGCTATATTCTCTCAAGTACAAATCTTGGGAGCCCATTGGGTGATCAGTAGCTATTCGGGAACCGATTTCCCCCACTCGGCGGCTCTTTTTGATGTTTTCGCGCAGAGGTTTTTGCACTCTCAAGAATATACATTCGGCGGAACAGATGTAAGCAGTTGTAATAATTTGAGCAGATTGCCTTAATACGGTAGCCGTGAGACATTCGAAACAAAAAAAAAAAATAGTTCGAATAGGTTCTGTCGTAACCTGCCCATCGTCGCTCATAGGATCTTACCATTAGATAGGCTTCAGCTCACACTGAATTAAATCGTGCTTATTGCTCTATTCAAAAGTAGATTGATATTGAACGCTCTACATGCGTATCCGAGAGGGCTCAGCAGCCTAAGCCGAAATTAATATATCAGAAAATGCTTACAGTAGTAACAACAAACCTAGGTGGAATGTCATCGTTAGCGTCCTTGCCGTACTTGAGAACAGGCAACTTGCTATTCTGCTTTTTGAATTTATGGCTCATTATTCTGTGCTCAAAGCTATGGCTTGCCGTTGTGATTTTAGCCTGCAAACGGGAGATTTCAAGGTGATTCCTTGTCGTAAATTTCATCTTACACTATACTACCTTGAAAAGGTTCTGGTTCTCGTTGAGGTATTTGACTAACGCCTCATCTTTGAGTGCTTGAGCTTCGGAAGAAAGTGTCTGAGGATTCGGCGCACCTACAAAAATAGAATCGTTCGTGTGCACTTGCAAACAAAGGCCCAGTTCACATCAAAAATGGTTTTAAGCCTAGGTGGAGCGCTAAAAAGACTCAAAGATAGTATTGGTTGTATGCCACCCTCAAGGGTGGACGAGTTTGCCGAGGCTGCGCAATTCACAAGTTACAACCATGTTGTATGTTAAGACAACTAGTGACGGTGACGGAACTTCTCCTCGAATTCTCACGGCTTGTGGCAGTGTTCCGCGGCGACTCTCCGTATCTTTCCATTGGGGAATCAAGTCTTTCCCACCACAGCGCGCGATCGCGTGCGGCGAGCGCGATACGCTGTTCGGGGACAAGATGCCGAACCCGACGACGACACTGGAGAGCAGTTTTGGACATCGTTGTTCTAATGTGTTAGGTTTGCGCAATTGCAACAGCTGGAATCTCGTCCGAATATGCCCCTTTTATCTCATTGCTGTCATTTTGATGACATACATACAACCCCTATTTTGACTGCTTTTAGGAAATCTTAGTTTTTGCTTGGTGGAAGATTTTCTCGCTTTCTTTGCCGGTGCATTACTTCTACCCCCCCCCCATCCCTGCACCTCCGAGACTTCCGTTCTGCAATTTGGAAGAATGCCTCAATGCTATCGTCAACTGTGCCTTTAATCTGATGCTAAGACACAAATGATGTACACCTACCAGGTGCTTCGGCTTCAGACCCGAGATCCGATATGGAAACAGAGATACAGAGTGCAATCCAGAAGTACTTCTGAAACATGTGAGTCCTCTGCCAGCTCATTCAATAATCATAAGATAATCTTTAAGAAGGGCGAAGATACAACTCACCATTGTGCAAGTGGTTGCTACTAGATGACTCTCTATTTATTTGGTACACGCGATTCGTAGACTCATCACTTCTGATAAGGGAAGAATGGGAAACATTCGCAGACTGGCTAACAGGAGCTTGATAATCATATCTGTAACGGTTGTTCTTTGAGCGGAGCTTGTTTAAGGTTCACAGGGTTTTGGGTAAACTTCAATGCTTTACGATTTTCACCCTTGCACCGTTCACACTGCATCCTTTTGGTAAACATGATACTCGTTAATTTTTTTTGTCCAACTTGGTATGAGAGTATTGCTACATAGTAGTTAGACAAAGCGTAGAGCGACCTGTGGGTGAGTGGATATCTCATACCAAGTTGTACAAAGAGTACAGCACTCTCGCAATTTATTGGCTGGAATGTGCAGGAGGAACTGTTCGGGTTCGTCTCTGTCGAAAGTATATAAATTGACCACATTCCATTGAAATTCATAAAGTTTAACTTCGAGTCGGGCGTAGGACTCTAGTCAAGAATTACAATAACTGGGGCTTTTCAATTCAGTGGAATTGCTCCGATCGGAGCATGCATTGAAGATCTCGCGATTACAGCTAACAGACGAATATAGTCTTCCCATCTGAATTGATACCAAGTAATGATGAGTTATCCTCTTGTACTTGTCTGCGATTATTGCATAATTAATCACAACGAAAGAACTGATTGACGCAGAGGAACTTTTTAATCCAATTTCGCGTCTTTCTATCAAGGTTAGCCATCACGAGTGAAGCAATGGTGTCTGGTTAGTTTGAGCTTTTGCTCTGAGGGTGGTGTAGTGGAGAGAGCATAGCGGCAACTCTATTACTTCAGGTGTATGAAATGCTCCGCAGCTTCAATACGATCTTCAAGTATCCCGAGTCGAAGCGTTAGTCAAATATGTCACAGAAAATTAGAAGTTTCTCAATTAGGTTGTCGCAAAAATTGTTACGGATTGCGATAATTGCGGATCCCACACTGTCCATCTTAAGGCTGTCATCTTTATAAGTAAACTTCGATAACCAATTTTTGAATGATAATTATCTCCTCAAGCAGGGTTGATATTGCTTACTTCGACTGTCCAATTTTGTAAATATTCCGCAAATATTTAGAAAGACACCGAGAAGAAATTGCCTCTTGAAGTCGGAGAAAAGACGATCAAAATAATACGTGATCGGCTGTATGATCGCTCAGGCACGTCAATCCAGTAATACAGTAATAATGGATATCCACTGTATTACCTTGCTCGGGAGATCCCCTTGTTCCAAACAAGTATGAAAAAGATCTGCAACAAACAACACTACAATTGTGGGAGAAAACCTAAGAGTACATCATGCTTCAGTGACAGAGCAATCAAAGCGAATGGGTAAAGGCCGCCGTTATGAATCCGCAGTTATTTTTGCGACAACCTAATATCTTGAGAAATTTCCAATTTTCGTTGACATGTTTAACTCACGCCTTATCCCTAAGTACCCAAGTCACCGAGGGGAAGTTGCGGAGCATACCATGCATCTGCAAGAGTAGAATTGCCTGCTATGTTCTCTCCACTAGCCCAAACTCAGTACAAAGGCTGGAACTAACCAGACCCTTTCGCTTCACTTGCGATAGCTAATCTTGATAGGGAGGCGCAAAATTGGCTCAAAACTTCTTCTGTATCAAGCAGTTCTTCTGTTGCCCACTAATTATTGGGTTGTAACATAAGTTCGTAGAGTTTTGCGTTAGAGTTATTTTACAACGAGTTATTTTGTTTTTTAGCAAAGTGTATACATTCATTTGAAAGAGCTCTTTCTCCTCTACAGAAGTGTTTTATTCGTTTTTAGGATAATTAAATTGTTCGTCTTTTTTGGGCTCAGAAATGGAATATCCAGGAAGAAAAAATTAGCATTTTCGACATCTGCTTTTCTTTGCTTGTCGTCGAGGTCAAAAAAGCAGCCGAAACCGCTCGGGACATATGCAGTGTGTACGGGGAAGGTGTCTTAGGTGGTCTACTGAAAGGTGTGGGTGGCATCAGGGAAGGCGCCAAAGCCGAGAGTCAAGCAAGATCTTCACCGAAAAAGTGGTCATGATCTGCGTTTGGTGGGACTGGGTAGGCATGGTGCACTGGGAAACTGCTCNTTCGGCTGAAAAGACTCTATAGAGGTGGTCAAGTCATCTTTCTCCACGACAACACCAGGTCCCATATTGCTCAAGTCGTCAAAACAGCACTCCAAGAGCTTGAATGGGGGGTTCTTCAGCATCCACCGCACTCTCCGGATCTTGCACCTGCCGACTATCATTTTTTCCGCTCTATGTTAAACCCAATGAGGGGTGTTACCTTCGATGGCGAAGGGGACCTTAAAAACTGGCTCAACAAATTCTTCGACACCACAACGGCCGATTTTCGACGAATCGCCATCAACAAATTGATCGAGAGATGGGAGGAGGTCGTGAACAGTAACGGAGGATACATCATTGATTGATTTATTATTGTAATTATTGTTTTTTGGTTCAGTTAAATCTTCGTGAAAAAACTCTACGAACTTATGTTACAACCCAATACTAATCGTAGCAAAGTACAAGTTGATAACTCACCTTGTTCTGGGGGATTACACTTTTGTCACTGTCTGTATAATTGGTACAGATAGCTGCTATGAAAGTATAGTGCTAGTCCTGATAAGTAAAGCACGTCAGCGATCAGCAGTGCGGTTGTCAAAAACTTGATGAGCATATGAAACCAATGTTCTTTGAAGTGTAGCCCGTTTAATGTTCTCATACCTTGTGACTCGCCCTTTTTGCCTGCATTGTGGTATGACATCGGTCATACAAGCTGAGAAAAGACCTCTCCAACTATGCTATTAATATGATGAAGGGAACATGTTCATTCGCTCGATTGCACGCTGGAGCTGGATCAATATTTATTCATTTATTCAAATACACCTGAAGGGTGTGCCATTCTATCACCCAAAAAAAAGTTAGAAATTGGAAATTCGAGTCCCATTTTGCCCAATAAGCAAGGAATAAATGAAGCGCAGCACAACAAAACAGGTTAAAAGATTAAAACTAGAACACTGCTGAGATAAGCAGGAAGATCAGCACGTTGAGAAAGGAAAAAAGAGAGGAGCTATGGCATTCCATGCATTGGGAGAACGATAATGTTGTTTTCTCTGTCAAGCAGATGAGGGATCCCATCGCAAGATGCTGGTCCTCGGTCTAGAACGCAAAGAGGCAGAAGTACTGAGGCTTGCCGACAACTTATTCCGTTACGAACGAATTCATCCGGAGCCACGGGCGAGCAGACCACGGGGAACCTCAAATGAAGGGTGCATCAAACCGTAGGATGCTGAAACAATTAAAACTCACAACTGAAGCCCAGAGCAGAATAAAGCAAAGTATGTTATCCATTTTGCTACCCACGTGCTTCAAGTGAGAAAAAAAGAGGAGAGGGAAGGAGATAAGATGCAGAAAAGTTAGGAAGGTAATTGGAAAGTGGAACTAGCAAGCGCACAATCGCACCTATGAAGGAGGCATAGAAGCCCTGAAAAGCTCTTAAGTAAGAAGAAAAGATTGCCAGATTGCCTGAGAATGCTTGTGAATGGAAAAGAGGAACCACTGCTTAGAATACCGAAAGATTTGATGTTGTCGAAAATGATGAAATTCATTCTTAGATCGTCAATGCGGTGGAATGCTTGCCATTCGTACGAGTGCAATAACCTGTAGGAAAAACACCTACGCAGCAACTGCCTGAAAAACAGTAAGAGAGTGTCAGAAGATATACTCCGGAATACGCAATGTTTGCAATAAATCAAACCTATTGCGCCTTTTTTATCTTGCTGCTGGGTGCTTGTTGCACCTCAGACGGAAGCACTTCGAGCCATCTCGCACAACGATAGAAAAAATTGTTGAACTAAAGAGTAATGTTCATGATAAATGCTGGAATAGCAAAGGTTGAACTCATCCAACATTTTACTGGCGTGTTTGAAGCACCTGTATTACTAGCACATTGCTTCACCTTTATTCGAAGTTCGCTAAAACAGAACACTAGATCGGCCGCTACCCATCTGTACTGTAGAGACTTGAGAGAAAATCGTTTGAGCCGTACGCCGTATGAGGATAAACGGAGCTGGCTTACAAAAGGACCTATACTAAAGGATACGCATAAATACTTGATGGACTCGTCCTATCTTGAGACGGACTTTGAGAGATGGACTCCAAACCTGCGAGCAATCCTCTAGATAGGGTTACACATAAGTAATGTAAAGACGCATTGGTATGGTTGGATCTGAGCATCTGAACATCTGATATTCCTTAGCATCTCATTATCGCGAACATGCCAGCAAACCTTTTTTACAGCCTCATCATTATGCTCAGAAAACTTGAGAGTGGTATCAAAAACTTGAGAATACCTAATTCGAGGTTTTTGGTAAAGTCGCAAATTGGAAGTCTTATTCCATTCCCATTATAGTCTGTTGCAGCAGAGTTCCCAAAATGCATCACGAAGCATTCGCCCAGATTTGAGGGAATATCCCAGTCAGATGCCCTGTCATGGTATCATTTTCTCTTGACAACTCCAGTGCTTTTTTATTTCTACTCTTTTTGAACATTCATAGGAAGCGCACACTTTAATGTCACCTGCATAGACTTGTACGTTAACACCACTACGTGTTTTGAGTATTTGAGGCAGCTCGATGCACCAATACAGTAGGCATCGAACGGCCTCGAATGAAAATGTAATATAATTTCAAATAAATTATAAATAAACAAGAACGACAGAACAACAAACGAATAAACAACAGAAACGAGAAAATAACTATTATTTATAACACATATAACATGCATCAGAAGTGCTGCTTGCACCACGTTTGCATTATGGTTTCTACTTGAGAACGCCATCATCCTCAGAAAAAGGAAGGTCCAGCTTGAGAAAAAAAACTCACAAAAAGCGACGAACTTGTGCTCAGATCTGTCCGTTGTTCTGCAACTCCCGAACCAAAGTTGTGAAAACTCAGATTCTAAGGTGGTCCTAATG